CAATATGCTTAGGAAACACTAGCTGATCAACCTACTAAAGTCCCTGGGCTTTATGAATTCATGGTAAAACAAAAGAGTTGAGCATATAAACAGCTAATTTACACTACAGGGTAATACTTGTTCCCTACAGAGACAAAAACCAAGCCATGGGGCCACAAAGGAAGTCTGCTGAAGCAGAGGAGGGCTTGACTGCAGATGTGACACTTAAACAGGAGTTGAAAGATAAGTTGAACTCTGTCAGAGGAGGAAAAGTGATAGCAGAGAGAGTTTCCTGCAGAGAAAACAGCATGTACGATAACAACTAATAGCAAACACTTATCAAGGGCTTAGTATGTGTCAGGTTCTATTCTATAGAAGTTAGCTCACTTATTCCTCATAACCTTAAGAAGTAAGCACTATTTCTGCTCCATTTCACAGATGAGGAAACTGAGACTTAGAGATTTCACTGCTGGAATAGGTTGGTCTGACATCAGAGACCAGGCTTTCAACCCCTATACTATACTACAAAGGCACAGAGCCATGAAAGGAGGTATATCTGAAGATCTGGAATTCATCTAGATAAGTATCTAGATCATGGGCAAGGGAGTAGTAGGTAGTGAGGCCAGATATGAGGGCAGGGGCCAGATTCGGAAGGATCCTGAATGCCAAGCTAAATAGCTGGGCTTATCCTGCAGGGGCTGGGGAGCCAAGACAAGCATTTAAGCCTACAAATGGCTTGATGAGCACTGTGCTTCAGCACAGTAATCTGAGAGTGATGTGGAAGATGGGCGAGTTTACGAAGAGCCCAAAGGAAAGGAGGCTATTTCATAACACAGACCAAATATGAGGTTCTGGACAAGACAGAGGTGACAGGGATGGAGAATAATGTGCAGAGTTGAGAGATTTCCCTGAGATAGAATTGATGCAGCTTGGTGAAGGATTAGGTCTGGAGCAGAGGGGGAAGAGTAAATGAGAAGACACCAAGCCCATATATAACTGGATATCAACACTCATCAAATTTCCCATCAATCAAGATCAAGGTAGGGACTTCCCTGGTGGTCCAGTGGTTAAGACTCTGAGCTTCCATTCCACTGCAGGGGGTATGGGTTTGACCCCTGATCAGGGAATTAAGATCCTGCATGCCTCACAGCAGGGCCCTCCAAAAAAAGATCAGTGTCATACAAGGACAGGTGACAGGTAGAGAAGATAGCAGTAGCTTAGTCATGCACCTATTGTGCTATTGTCTAACTGCTTCAAGTTCCTAAGTCTCAGCAACCTGGCAAAACCATAATCTTTTCCAAGGCAGAAAGAAGTGTCCTGTGTCTACATGTCCACTCAGTGTACATTTCAGCATAGAATCCCAAAAAAGACCCTTAATACAACTCACTAAATATATGTTAAACATCAAAGGTATACATGATACTGTTCTCAAGACGTAACTGCTGGCCAAAGATAGAAATCATTAAAGAAAATATGAATAGGTTTTCATTATAGCAAATATGAATCTGTAATTTATAAAAGAAGAAAATCAAATAACTTTTATAAATTTAAAAGTTTTATTTCACTAATAACCAAATAAATACTAAGTAAATATCTTTCTTGTCTACCAAATTTCAAAGACTTTTAAAACACCCTGTGGAAAGAGAGTGGCCCTTGATTTGCTTGTTCACAATGGTCTAACTCCCCAGGAGAGCTGCCTAACCAGGAGCATGGCAAGAAATGAACCTACTAAGACTTGAGACTGTTTTTTACTGCAGTAAACTAGTCTATTCTAACTAATGTGAAGATATTCCCATTTAACCTGTAGAATAATCCATGGAGGAATGCATGATCATCTCCATTTCAGAAACTGAGGCAATGAAATCGAGAAACTTATTAGTGGTTGCACAAATAGTAAGTGGTGGAGCCATAAACAAAACCCATATATTTCTTCAAAGTCCATGCAGTGTGGAGTAAGTATATATTCCACAATTAAATGATTATTGAGGTAATCATTATTCCATTATGAGAACCAGCTTTACACTTGGGCAGAATGGGCCCTTACTGAGCATAACAGCTTGAAGGAATAATCTGTATGGCCCCCAAAGACCACCATTTGCTGGGACGTTATAGGCTCCTCCTCTTAGCTAGTCAAGGATTCCTATTTAGGGTCACTATTTAGGCAATAGGTTAATCAACCTCTTTGTATCTCAGTTTTCTCATATGTAAAAATGGAAAATATGATCTATAGTTTACTCTGTCGAGAAAACTATATTTTCCCCACGGAATAAAGTTGACCCTGCCTCAAAAGTTATCCTTCTAAAACACAAGTTTCATCACACTACATTATATTCAATCTTCAAATTACAATTCAAATCATATATGAGTGAGAAGTCCATTCTGATTGTCCAGTTAGAGGGTTCATTGCTTTCTCTCCCCATGCTTCCGTTATGCCTTCCACAGACCTATTACTCTTCACATTGTAACATAAACATTCATTTACTCTTCTATCCCCCTTATTGTACTGGAAGCTGGTTGAGAATGGAGCCAATAGCTTATACATTTTGCGATACCAACAGCAAGCCCAGGGCCAGGATATGGCAGAAAATATTTCATCAAAAACAACAAAAACAGTATGTCATCTTACCCTCACAAAACTCTGTCAGGCATTCTACAACTTGGGCAAATTGAGGTTCCAAGTTGCAGTGACTGTCTAATATATGCAGGAGATCAAGCTTGCATGGAATCCAGGTGTATGGACTGCCCACTGCACCACACATGGTCCTTCAAAGACAAGGAGAGAAGGCCCACCACAGGCCATCAAGACCATCGTTGCACAAGGTACTTTGTTTCTCAAAGGTGGTAAGGACTCGGAATAGTTTTAGGACAACTTAGAAAGTCATCACATGGGAAAGTATAGGGAACACAGTTAAAATATAAAGAAGGCTGGAAGATCTGAATCTAAGCCCAGGCTCACCCTGCCCTTAACCCTGTTCCCTTGGATAAATCTCTGAAACTCAGGAGCCTCAGCTTCCTCATCTGTAAAATGAGGTTTTAAACAATGATACTCAGCTTGTAGGGCTTGCCATGAGAATAACAGTTATATGAAATGAGCTGAGGATATACTAAAGGTTAATTAAATTGTAGTTATTATTTATGAAGGAAACTAGCACATATTGAATGTCTGTTCCATGAAATATTTTTCATATATTATTTCATCCCAACAGCAACCCTGTGGAATATTACAACCTTGGGGTTGCTGTTACTTTAATCTTATATTGTGGAAATTGAGACTCAGAGATGTTTTAAGTGACTTGTCCAAGGTCACACAGGTAGCATCTGGCAGAGCCTGAGTTCAGACCAAGGTCTTCCTGAGTCCAAAGCCTTTGCTGTTTGCAGTTTACCTGTCTGCACCCCAGCTTGGTTTCAGTGGAGAAAAAATAAGGAATAATCAGATATGTCCCAAATGTCTGAGGTCAGTGTGAGGGGCTGGAAAGGCAAAGTTGGATCAGATTCATCTGTAGCTTGAGATGTCTTAAAAATGTTTGGAACATGTGCAAGATGAGATAGGGGAAAAATCAAAAGGGAAGAAGACAGCCAACAATAAATGTCACATTCAACTTCCCTTTAGGCTAATAACCCAATAAATAGTAGAGATGACACATATTCATATTTCGGTCCTTGTGCTAGAAGTCTCCAAAGTAAAAATCCCACATTGTAGTACAAATGTAAATAATAAAAGTGTATTATTTGATCTTGCTACCATTACGTCCCAGATAATGTTCCGAAATCAAACAAAGGAAGTTCAGAGAAGTCACAGGAAATACCTCATCTCCTTAACTATAAGAAATAGAAACAAACTCTACTAGGTTAGTCTCTTATTTGAATCATTAACACCAAGGCATGTTGGAAGAGGATTCAGGTAACTAATATAGCAGTAGATGGCTTCAAATCACCCCACAGAAAAACAATTGCTCTTACACACTTACACACACACACAAATTGATTTCTGGTGTTTTTCCTCTGTCACACACAGCTTCCCCAAACTTGGAACGAGTAGGCCTTTACACTCTCCAGTCAAGGCCCAGGAAACTTTCATGCTGTGAATGTTTTTGACTCATACAGTCAGGAGTCAGATTAGGCATCAGTAGAAACAATGGTGCAGAAAAATGAAAAAACAAACAACAGATTGAAAAAATTTGAAAAAAATAAACAAAATTCCCTGTGGAATAAAAAGTTCTCAGGTGAGGCACTCACACCAAGTCCTCCCACTTGATGCTACAAGGCTGTGAACCTAGAAAGATGTTCACTCCAGGTTAAGAACACACGTGGAGAAAGAAAACTCAACAAAGAAGGGGCGCCTGAGCAGACTCTGAGAGGGAGTGAAAACATTTTGTCTGTTTGTGAGCAAAAGAAAGGTTCGACTGTTTAAATTTTTTAGCCAAAGTTAGGCTTGAAATTCTCTACTAATAAATACATCCTCTTGTGAACTTTTCCGAAGTGGAACTTCGGGCACACAGAGTTAGCTGATCTCACAGAAAACTCATTCCTAAGAGACTACCTATAAACTCAGAAGTTTCTGTCTTCATATGATCAAATGTGAGGCAGAACTCCCTCTGCTCACTCTCATCCCATTCAAAAGCGCTCTATTCCTCAGCACCAATAAGCCGTGGCCAGCCTTTGCTCTACTGTGCGTGGCTTCAGAAAGGCCTCAGGCATCGGGGCCGCGGGATTCGCTGGAGCACCCCTCCCCTCCCTGCCATCCCCATTATTCGGCACACAGCCCTGCTCTCCCCTGGAGCCAACAGTCTGCAGTTCCTTCAATGCAGGCGCGAGCAGGCAGGAATGGTGGAAGAGAAGCCGTGCCAGCTACATGTTTCTGAATCTCCCTCCATATGCATTTGCCAAAGGCACAAAAAGAAAATCAACGACAGGGAAAGACAACTGAGATGAGGATGCGGTGGGACCGCGGTTGACTCCGCGCCTCTGAGCAGCAAGAGGCTGGCCAACCACGCGTCCGAGCCATAGATGCGATTCGTTACCTTCAGGATGCAGGCCATGGCGCTCCGCCGGCCCTCCTGCCACCGAGCAGCGGGCGCGCCTGGGTCAGGGGCAGTCCCGGCGACAGGCTGGAGGCTGGTACCGCTGCAGGACCACTCCAGCCCACATTCCCGCAGATCCAAATAAGGGGACCGCGGTGAGAGCTGCGCGGGCACAGGCCCCGCCCCTCGGGTCGTGGGCCCGCCCCCGGCCCCGTCCACTGGCTCGAGGCCTGCGAGGCCCCGCCCCCAGGTCACGTGCCGTCCCTGGCGCCTGCGGCTGCCTCTCGTTGCTTGCTACTTTTTCTTTTCTGTTTTTTTTCTGTAAACTTCTGTCTGTTCATTGTATATAATGTCGCTCAGCAGCAGTCTGGGAGCTCAGATGGGTCCCGCTGGGGAGAGAAAGTGGCCTTTTCTTCTCCTCGATTCGGTCTTCGCTAACAGATCAGAGAACTCATAGCAGACACTTCACACTTTTAAAGAAGTTTAGTGGGTTTGGAATCATCTCTCTCCAGGCTTTGGGTACATCAAAGGATTCTTCAAAAGTAGCAAAATTCTCCCTAAGCTGGTTAAGGAAAGAGCCTTCATCCTACTTTAAAACCCTGTGATGGCCTTATCTAAAATTAATTTGCCATTAAAAGGGAGCACAAATGTCAATCAGGGAAAGATGCAACCAACTGGAGTCTATGTAGGATATATTTCGTTTCTAAGTACACAGGGTCTTCCTTCGTGGCTCAGGCGGTAAAGAATCCGCCTGCAATGCGGGAGACCTGGGTTCGATGATATTTCATTGCCTGGAGAATCTCATGGACAGAGGAGCCTGGCGGGCTGCAGTCCACGCGGGGTCGCAAAGACTCGGACAGGACTGAGCGACTGAACTGAACTGATAATGCATTGCTCTTTCCTGCTTTAAGCTTACGTGTTTAGGCAAGAATACTGGAATGGATTGTCTGCGGTTCTGCAGGGAATCTTCCCAACCCAGGGATTAAAACCGTGTCTCTTACATCTCCTGCAACGGTAGGCAGGTTCTTTACCACCAGCACCACCTGGGAATCCCATGAAAAATGTGTGTATACATAAATACACTGTAAAGAATATATGTATATATTAAAATATAGTATATTCTCATATATATACATTAACTATATATATATATAGATAGTGTGTGTGTGCGCACGCGCGCGCATGCACAGGATTTTGCCCTTTCCTGCAACAAGTTTAGAATTTGACAATTTTGTTGCAATTTCAGTAACAAGGTTAGATCTAAACTTTCCTATTAGCATTGGAAATCCAGAGAGGCCATTTTTCACCATCCAACCTGAATACTCTGATGCTAAAACACAGTGAGGTATAGCAGCTCCACCTAAGAAGCAGGTGATCTGGGAGAAGACATGTCCTGGGCCCTCTCCACCTCTCTTCAGCAAGCCCCCTTTCCTTGTTGACTGAAAAGCAACAAGGAAGCCCACTTCCCCATCCAGAACTGACTAAGAGAAACAGTTATTTCTACAAGGAAAGTAACATCACACACAGAGCAGAAAAAGGGAGAGACCAACCTGTGTATATACACAGATCTCCATCACTAGGTCTACCAGAGAAATATTAAAACTAGGCTCAAAATATTTACCCAAAAGAAGTTTCACTTGCTGGAAGCCCACTCTAGTTTCCCTACAAGGCGTCAGGAAAAGCACTGTGGGCTGCCAGTGGTGACTGTGACATCTGAGATTGGCTCACAAACCAAAGAGCAGACACCCCGGCTTTCAAGGCGTTTGATGTTTTCTTGATGAGAACATGCAAAATCCCGGGAGAGCAGGAGGAACCTCGGGAAAGGGTTGCAGAAGCTGAGACTGTGGAGGAACTGGCCTGCTCCCAAGGGAAACTCCTCTTTTTAGTCTCCCTGAGGGAGACTCTCCCACTCCTTCCTCCAACCCCTCCATCTGTTTCAGAGATCTGCTGTATTTTCAAGGAAGAACTCCTTGATCCTGACTGCATGTTTTAAACCACCACTTTCTCTCATGGTCTGCAGTGGGTCAGGAACACTCAGTAATTCATCTGTTTATGAATTCAACAAACTTTTATTGAGCTGCTACTAGAAGAATAAAATTTTTTTTGAGCTAACATTAACTGGAGGAGAAAACTTTTATTGAAGTACTACAGGACCTGTCAGAGATGAGAGAATGATTTCTGTGGTCTCTAACATTATCTCACCTTCTGTCAAGTGGGAAAGATAAGACGTATATGATAATACAATGTGATAAGGTCTTTAACTAGGGTTCCCTAAAGGCTCAGATGGTAAAGAATCTGCCTGCAATGCAGGAGACCCAGGTTCTATCCCTGGGTTGGGAAGATCCCCTGGAGAAGGGAATGGCAACTCACTCCAGTATTCTTGCCTGGAGAATCCTATAGACAGAAGAGCCCAGTGGCTATAGTCCAAGGGTCACAAAGAGTTGGACATGGCTGAGTGACTAACACAAGGTCCTTATCCAAAGTGGAAGCAAAGCTATAAGGAAAGAGCGACTGAATCTGACAGGGTGGCAGGTGGGAAGGGGAAGAGCAGACAGAGCTCTCTTTCTCCATCCAGAAAGTTTGCCATTCTGGGAGACAACACAGTGGACTCCAGCGAGCAACCCCCTTGAGCCCTTCCTTGCTGGATGACCTTTATCAAGTTTATTAACCTCTCTTGAGTCCTTCGTTTATTTAATAATATGTAATTCATTGTGAAAAATAAGGTAATGCTTGTAAATGCACTCACCTCAGTCTCTGGCACTATGAACATTCTCAAAATGGTAGCTCTTTTTCTGAAGCAAAAAAAAAAAAAAAGTTGACTAAAGAGAGTATGAATAGGATAATTTCCATTCTTCTTGGGTGTCTCAGAAAAATAAACAAACACTGAGCAGGCAAACAACTAGCATCCTGTGGCTTGGGTCCATCGCCAAGAGGGTTTCACTAGCTCCCACAGTCTTGTGTATGGATCTCTCAAACTCCCACCCACCCATGTCCACACTTCCCAAAATGTTATTCTTTTGTTAGCATTCCTAAACTAAAACTAAATAGGGGCAGGAATTGTCATATTTTATAAAAACCTAAAAACAAACTCAAACAATCCTAAAGTAAGTCTGGACCAAAAGTTTTACAAAACAATATTAACAGTCACTCTCTTTGAGCTGGACAGAAGTTGGGTGAGAAAAAAAGCAGTTGGATGGTAATAAAAGCATATTCTAATCCTATTAGGGAATGAAGGCATAGCCAGATATGCAGGTGGGTACTGGTTGTCTGTTTTAAAACTGGCCAAACTATAGGAATAGCTTAGTTTAGTCCATAGATATAGCATAATTTTCCAAGTCTCAAGTTACATGACTTAAAGCCAAAAGCCTGTTTCCAAAAATAATAATGACCAACCATAGGCACCCTCAATTATATACAATATCCCATTTGATCCTCATGACATCCATATGAATGTTGTATTCTCAGCTGGTAAGCAGGGCAACAGAGATTTGAACCGAGATAGTTGGACTTCTGTGTCTGCCCTCATAACTGCTACACTCGGCTCCCAGGTAGATTAGGAGCCCAATCTCTATCATTTGACACCATTCAAATTTAATCTAATTGTCTTAGATTTGATAGTCAGAAAACCAAGGGTAAGATTATATCCTCTCTAGAATACATACTGGGACCTACCCAGGTGGCACTAATGGTAAAGAACCTGCCTACCAATGCAGCTAGATGTAAGAGATAGGGGTCCGATCCCTGGGTTGGGAAGATTCCCTGGAGGAGGGCATGGCGACCCACCCTAGTATTCTTGCCTGGAGAATCCCATGGGCAGAGGAGCCTGGTGGGCGATGGTCCATGGAGTTATAAAGAGTTAGACATGACTGAAGCAACTTAGCACGCACTTGTGCCACGTGCAGGATACAGACTAGGACACAAAACCTAGAGCAAATATGTAAGTATGTGGGAAGCAGATACGTTCTATCTTTCTAAGTGTACAGGATAGGTATACTCACTTGTATCTATCAACCCCTAGCTCCTGGGTCCTACTTTAACAAAGACATTGCATATCCCATCCGGGTTTCCCATAAAACCAGCTATTGCCACCCTCTGTTCATGAGAATTTCATCTGACCAAAGACTCACTGCTGTATCTCTCATTGTTGTATGATGTGGGTGGGGCCTGCTGTATAGTAGCCTGCCAGCCCTTGCTTTCCTCCGTGGTAAGATCCTTAGGAACTGGCCCTATTGTTACATCAGCCTCCTGTGGGTTCTTCTGGGCTCTGATGGTCCATCTTCCTTTTCCTCACCAGCCTTTCACCTTAATTTTAATATGCCTTAAGGCTGAGATTTTATAAGTTATGACAAGTCATGGGCCAAAATGTCCTATTTAAATTCAGTTTTGCCTTCATTGTAAACAGTCCCATTACCATGTAATTCTCTGAGTTATAATGTTTCCTGATAGAAATAGAATTAAAACTCAGACTCCCATAACTTTTCCAATTTCATCTTACACACATATTAATTTAATATATTTGTATTCAACACAGAGTCATTTATTAAGGTTTTAATTGGATCTCGGTTTTTCCCATCTAAAATTTTTAAATGAATTCCAGATATCATAAAACTCTTCTTGTCATCCACTACATAAATTATGCTTCTATAGGAGACTGTGGCTAGAAGATCCATTATACAATGTTGTGGGGAAGTCATTTTTTTACATTCTCGGCCAAGATAGGAAATAATTTTTTTTCTAGAATGCATTGCACTGTTACAATTTTGACCTAGGAACTTTTTCATACCCTAAAGCACATCTATTTTTCCATGTCCATGTGTGTGTCTGCATCTGTATCTATATCCAAGTATCCTGTGGTTGTGCTCTTCCAGGTGAGTATTTATGAGACTATATTGGCCTGTGAGTTAAGCTTTATTTCCCTCCATTTAGGGTAGAAGATCATTCCAAAATTTCATCCATTTTACATTCCCAACACTTGAACTTACTGCTTTTTCAAAGCTTTACACAGTTCTAATCCAGAT